AGATCTCCTACCCATCCATCACTTCGTCGTTCCGGTTCGTCCCGAGTGAGTCAATCTCATAACGGTAGGATAGTGAATCGATCGAGCTAGGATAGTACTCAACATCGATCCAAAGGCTAGAACTAGGGGGATTCAACCAAAGAGAGCTCACAACCACTGTCATTTTGAGTAAGTACGAAAATGCCCCTATCTGCGTCTCTGTCTCAAAATGAAAAAACCCCAAAATTAGTTCATGTCGAGTTTCGAACTCGTGCAGTCAAGCTGGTACGCGGATTGTAAACAACAGTCGAACTAGTTGGGCTGCTAGCCCATCATGCATTAACATAATCATCCCGTTTACTTTTATTCGTTTAAAATCCTTAATACGAAATGCTTATTGCGGATTAAGTTTCTATTGTTTCTTTTCTAATACGTCAAAATACTTCCTAATAACTAAAATCCTTGCATTTACTGTCACAACCTCATAACAATCTAAATGAAATTTTATTAAAAAAATTATAATACTAGAACTACATTCATTGGAACGTGGTAAAAGTTACAATTAAATTATCAAAGTTCCAAACAAACTACGTGGACTTTGATCCCGTCTAACGGGTACGTAAGCAGCCGATAACGTTCGAGTCCAACAAACTAATTTTATCGTCAATTTTTACGCCGGTGGGCGTATATTAAATTACAACTAATACGATTTAAACCCTTTAGTGTTCCGGTATGGCCCTAAAAATACCTAACCATGAACTAAGACGTCAATGGACGTTTAGTTAAATTATAAGCAATATATTAATGATCCAGTGGGATTTTAAAATACACAATAATTACCAAAATAACACCCAACTAATATAAAACTTATCAACTTAAGTAGTACCGATTTAGGGCGTTATGGGATGTTGCTTAACTTCCCCACACGTAACCGTACTCCCGAACCCAAAATTTTATTTTCGCAGACCATGTCTCGATTCCGACCCTGAGGTTAGAGCCGACCGAAGAGTGTTCGATCCACTCCAAGTAAGATCGATGGCGACTCCCAAAAAGCAAACGCGACGACGAACCTCGGAGGGACGGTTGCGACAGCAGTAACCACTAGTACGAAGACGGGGAGCGGTTCTTTGTAGCAGTTATCCAACAAGCGGTTTTCTACCGCGGTTACCTCCTCGTGGCTATAAATAGGAGGAGTGGTCGACAGAGACAAAGGTTCCAAAACCACACAACTGAGGCCAAATTCAAGTTTTCATCTTTACTGTGAAAATTTAGTCATAGTCGTAATTTGGAGCTCTCACTTAACCTCCATAGGAGTAGGAGTAATTTAATTTAGTTTCATTCCCGAAAATCATCAATCAAACACCCTCGTTCAAACTTTGTTCAAAGAGGTGTAAACCGTGTTTAGAAATCGTTTGGTTAGAAGTCAAAGGTGGCAATCAAATCCATTTTATTTAACGCAGGTTTTGTCGCAGGAAAACAGTAACCAAACATGACATGTTTTAGTAATCCTAATAATCACCAATGGAATTGGATATTTTTAGCGATCAAACATGAACTTTTAAGTAATCTTGTGTCCAACCTTGTAATTTACCTTTCTTTTTTCAATTTTTTAAGGAAACCAAGGAAATCCATTTTATTTTTACCACATTCTACCATGTCCCTTTTGTCCCACTCGTGGACAAAGAACAGACGAAGCTAAGCACTTTCATTTGTCCCTCATTTTAAATAGGCAAAATACACTTGTATAGCCAAAACTTTAACGTTTTGGACAAATATAGCCACGTTTGGCGAAATACCAAAAATAGCCACTTCCGTCCAATTGTTTGACGGTGTTAGTTAACGTGCTGACTAGACTAACGGAAAAGCTGACTAGCTAATAAAAATATGAGGTTAAATTAACAGAAAAAATAAAAATAAAATAATTAAATATTTTTATTATCTCTCTCTCCCTCTCGGTTCTTTCACCTTCCGTTTCCCAACCACCGCGAACAGATCTGAAAATCTTCAATGTTCTTCCTCTCTTCTTCCTTACGATGCGGGGGGGAAGCCGGAAGCCAACCAACGATAACAAAAGACACAGGAGCCCAACGCCATTAGAATTATAATTAAAGAGCTTTTTCATATTAAAGTTTCTTCCTTTTCATGAACTTCTTCCTCTTCCCCTCAATTCAGTCGCTTCCTGTTCAGGTACTCTTCCATCTCTCTCTCACCTCTTATTATTCTCCTCTGCAGCTTCTTTGGTTTCCTCTGTTTCTTTTGTTGTTGTTGTTCAATTTGGTGGGGTTGATTTTTTTTTTTTGGTTGAAATTCAGAAATGGAATTCTAATTCATGGACAGAGCTTTGAAATAAAGCTTGAGGAGAGAAGTTATTGCTTCTGTGAAGTATCCTCAACAAAACCAGATGCAGCAAGATTTGGGGTTTAAAGATTTCCTGTGCTTGAACCCTAGTCCAGCAGAGGATTTCACAGTCACCGAGAAGACGAACTTCTCCACAGTCATGCGGAACAAGGGGTATTTCTTCCTGGTGCTCCTGAAGCGAACCAGGAGCGAACGGAGGCAGAGGAGCCCGGCGGCGGTGCAGACAACAACGGAGAGCCAACACCTATTCTCTTCACTACCGGCGCCATCCTCTTTGCTTATCTTGTCCGCGACCAAAAACCAGAATCGACGGTTATGGAGGGATAAGATCTCGATGTGATAGAAGAGGGGCGGACTGATGGTGGCCGGTAGTGGGAGACGATGGCGAGCAGCGTAGCGGGGAAGATCGATTCCGTGGAGAGGATTCCTGTGTCCTTGGCGAAGAAGACGGCGGCCTAGAATCAGATGGGAAGAAGAGTTATGAGAAGGCGACGACGACGGCTCGAATTGTGGATTGGGGTTAGTTTGGGAAGATCGAGAGGCTGGGATCGGGAGAAGAAGAGGGTTCGATGAGATTAGGGATGGGGGAAATTTATTTTTTAAATGACGTGTCGTCCACGTGTCAATGAATGCTGAGGTGGAAATAAAAGAGAGACTGAGTTGGAAGCCAGGTCAGCGTTCCGTTAATTTCACTAACGGTGTCACTGACGCCGTTAAATTATGTAACGGAAATGGCTATTATTGTCATAAAACTATCAAAATTCTGGCTATTATTGGTATTTCTCCAAAAGTGGCTATTATTGTCACAAACGTCAAAGTTTTGGCTACACATATGAATTTTGCCTTTTAAATAATACGTTCATGTGTGTTTCTTTCTCTCTTTATTTGCTAGAACCAACCACCCAATGCACTCATTCCGGTTGTTTGGATGATTTGGTTTTCTAAACTCAATTCATCATTATAATATAGGTTTTATAAACGCTACAAGCAATGGAAATATGTTTTAAAGGTCAAAACAAAGGTATCTTTTGCGGGAGTTACTATAACTTAAAAAGACAATTAGGAAGTTTTAGTGCTCAACTCACTACGTTTATGACGAGAAGGTGAAAAAACATAAGAAATCAAAGACTCGAAAACTCGAAAATTTTGGATGCTTAGAGCGCAAGGGAGAGTATGGATTAGTTTGACTCAAGACTGGGGTGATTGGTATTTAATAAAACGAATAGCTTAGCTATGGCTTCAAGCCAAACATTGGGAATGGACATGGGAATCCAGAAGGAGAGCACATGTTAAATCCATCTCCTAAACTCGCTAAGGGGATCAAAACGAACATTTTTAGTTGTTCAATCAAATTTATTCATAATCATTTTAAAAAATTGATTGTCACGGAAAGCTTAGACTTAAGACATAAAAAGTACACCCATGTAAAGCGATTTGCATGGTCAATGAACATGGCCAAATAACAATAATAATGATGAGAAACCGCTGGTGAGGGACCCCATAGGTTAGTATGAACCATATGAAATGGCTCTTTAATAGCATATGTGATGCTATGGAAGGTAACACTAGCGTTTTTTTATGCAATACAACTAGTGTAAGAATGATTTAAAGTAAACTCACATTATGCTTTCCAAGTAAATCATTTTGAAATAACAACAGGAGGGTCAAAATTTGGATGGCCTAGCCGACTATATGCCAAAGTTGTAAGACATTATTGGAAGGATTCGAAACACTGTCAGAAAACAAAAAAAATATTTGAAACTGCAAGCAAGACATAATTAGACTATTGACAGTCTTATCGAGTGGACTATCGATGGTTTGACTCGAAATGGGTGGATGCTCAAGTTATTCAAGGTGAAACATCTCTCCCTCTTTACTCCATCTTCAAATCCTATACAAAACATCCAGACAGTGTAAACAAAACGAAGTAAGGCTCGAAAGCATGCATAGGCATGAGGACGCGTGGTCGGGGACCTACCAATTGCTTTGGCAGGCGGTACGTTTTAGCAACATGATAGTCGAGCACAATATGCTAGTTTCAACACGAGATAATTTGTGGTGAAGCCAAAGTGATTTTGGACAAATGCAGGTTTTTGCCGGTTTTGGACTTGAAGAGAAATGTGGTACCCTTTGCGATTTACTCATTGGTGGATCTTTCTCTCTTTCTCTTTGAAATGCAATTAAAATTTCACTCTAATAGGATCTTTTTCTTCTTCTTTTGTATGATTTCATGTACGAGTATATTAAATCAAACAAGGATTTTACGAATAGATCTATAATAATCTAATAAAAAACATACAATTTTAGACTAGTAACAACGTAACATCCACCACCTTGTGTTATTTGAACTAGCCTCTTAATTCTTAATAAAGTTTATTCATGTGATCCGCCCCATAGCTAGATCTGTTCGCCAAATCAAACAAGGAAGATAACGTAGACGTGGTTTCCCTTTTCGTTGAAGATTATGGAAGATGTGATGCGAGATCGTCAAACGTAGCACCTATATACAATGCATAGTTTTGCATAAATGAAGAAAAATAGCATGGAGGGAGTGAGCTGGAAAGCCTTGAAGGACGGGGCGCCGTCCCACACTCTCCCAAGTCTCAGCTGCGACTACTATTACTCGATTAATTGAATCTCTACTCTACCGTTTTTGTTGTGAACACACGGAGACGAGACGAGTAGCGTAAAAGTCAAAACCCCCCCCGATGCCCAAAGAAAATAAAACCCCCGTCGATTGCGCAGCCGGTCAGTCACTCACCTCTGCCCCACTCGGCACTCAATCAATGCACTCACGAGTTTCCCCCTTCTCATGTTCTAAGCTGTAACTATAAGCCCACGTTATCTTCCTCCCATCCTATCCCATTCATTCCCCAGCGTTTCCCCAATTCCCAAAAATGGGTGGAGAAGAAGAAGGCGGAGGAGCAGGCGAGGAGTACCTGTTCAAGATAGTGGTGATCGGGGATTCGGCGGTGGGCAAATCCAACTTGCTCTCCCGCTTCGCCCGCAACGAGTTCGACGCCAACTCCAAGGCCACCATCGGCGTCGAGTTCCAGACCCAACTCCTCGACATCGACGGCAAGGAAATCAAAGCCCAGATCTGGGACACCGCCGGCCAGGAGCGCTTCCGTGCCGTCACCTCCGCCTACTACCGCGGCGCCGTCGGTGCTCTCGTCGTCTACGACATCACCCGCAAAACCACCTTCGACAGCGTCACCCGCTGGCTCCAGGAGCTCTCCAGTATGCATATATCCTCATTCCCCCAGCTCTGTTCTCCCCCTCTCTCGCTAATCTTGAATCTTTTGATTGATGAGTTGGAATTTAATCGATCATATTTGCAGTGCACTGCGATACGACTGTTGGGAAGATGCTGGTGGGGAACAAGTGCGACCTGGACGACATACGGGAAGTGAGCAAAGAGGAAGGCAAGAGGGTGGCGGAGGAGCAGGGGCTGTTTTTCATGGAGACTTCTGCCCTGGATTCCACCAACGTCGAGGCGGCGTTCGAGGTGGTGATCCGAGAGATTTACAACAACCTCCGCCGGAAGGTTTTGAACTCCGACTCCCACAAGCCTGACTTGAATGCTGCCAACACAGTCTCCCTCCTCAACAATGGTGCCGCCGGTCGCAGTTCCTATTGCTGCTCCTCTTGAGATGAGATGAGACCAACCCACCCTTGGCAACAATTTCGTATCCCCCATTTTTCGGAATTTCTTACTGTTTGAGGAGGACGGAGGATTTAACTTGCTACTAGAACAGGAATACTGTTCGTTGTTCAGCAAGGCGGCAACATCTTACACGTTTGAAACTAAATGCTCTAGTATAGGCTCAAACTCTTTCTAATGTTGGCTGGGTGGCTTGCTAGAAAGTCCCACACTTGTGGGCTGTGTACTGAAATTCGAGTTCCAAATTACTCTTATGGTTGGCTACTAGTACTTGCTGTTTCATGGTTTACGCCACGATCACGGGGCGTGTCTACTTGTGAATGATGTAGGTGTATCAAGCGACACACTTCTGCCCGAGATTTTTTCTAACAGACCGTTCAAATTATTTGGGGTATGACATTACTGCGCAATTTACAAATAGACATATAGTGAGTTACTTAATCAACCAATGGAGGTGGCATCTTTTCTACCATGCATGAATGGACCTACATTTACAGTAATCGCGCTAGTCTAGAATGGCAATCAAATCAATAAATGTCAAGCTGAGAAATGGAATGGAGGATACATAGAAATATGAACTACTCGCCAAGTATAGTGAGTCAGGGCTTCCGGAGAGCAGAGGCAGCCCCCATCACCACAGCTAACACTAACCCAAGACCAGCACCCACAGAAGCACCCACCGCCGCAGCTGTCATTGACGACTCCTTTGCCTCGGATCCTCCACTTGCCCCCAATGCCTGCTCTCTCACTAACTCTGCCAACAACCTATCTCGAGCCAGCTCCTACACAACACAATAACCACATCAAACACGCAGCACCTTCTTTTCAGTTTGCTGCGTTCGAAAACCACCTACCTCAAGAGCAGCCTCTTCATGCTTGCTTTGTAGCACACGCTGGACAAGCTGACAGAGGGAGCTGACACCGTCGACGGGAATCACTGTATCTCTTCTCTGAAACGGCCTACGAACAAGATTGATGGGGAGAAGAAAAGCCTTTGACCACCCACTTTCCCTCTAGAGTCTCCACCAATCGCAGCCCATGGGAGAGGAGCACTTCCACCAGCACCAGACAACACGTACGGACACGAATTGATAACTTCTGTGGAGCTTGGCGAGGCTTGGTATGCCTGCAGAACGGCATCAATTGCTGCCTTCTGCTGGTGTGCACTGACTGAAAATTTGTTAGTTATGGCAAGAACCCATGGTATTCCAAGAGCTTTCGCCTCCTCTAACAAAAATCCAAGGACAGGCTGTTGCTGCAATGTGGTTGGGTCACTAATAGATCGGGGGATCTTGTGGGAGAGGTTGTGCACAAGAACTATCAAATCTACTTTCCTACTAAGATCACGAATTCCTGTCCACAGCTCGTCCCTAAATCGAGAAACTTCCATATTCAGATCCTGTGATGCAAAAAGAAAAATATATTAAAAGAGGGGATGGGCACATTGTCACTCAAAGCTGGAAAAAAGTAGGTGTTTTCTTGGTTGCTGGGGCACAAATCGTGTTTGGGTGGGATCTAAAAACCTAAATTAAGAATAGGGTTCATCTTAGGATGTGCCAACCCCACCAATTTCTAACCAGAAAAGTTACAGGCAGGAATACAGTAGTATATGGGGTGTGCTTGTTTTCAGCTTTATAAAAGAAGTCGACTTAAAGAAAAGAATGAGCTTAAAAAGCTAGAATAAACACACTTTTTCAATCTGATTTTTACAAACAAATATTCATGATGGACCCCAATAATAACTCGAACATTTTATTTCCAACTTTATCCCTTTGGAGAAATATATATTCTTGAAGTTGTATCTGATATCCATCGATTACTTTTGTATTCCCAATAAGTATATGATACCCAATTAACTCAACCTTTCTAAGATATCCTATTCCCAATAAGTATATGATACCCAATTAACTCAACCTTTCTAAGATATCCTATGTCGCTTATTCTCAGCAACAACTAAAACAAACACACTACAGGTCTTTCCAATAAATTAATAAAAAATAAAACAAACACACCAATTGAGAATAATACCTGCAAATTTACACCAGACGAATCACAATAGCATAGTCCCCCAGCAATGCCCTCTTGAACATCAGCCTCCATGAGCATGTTGTCAGAATTCGTGATTGCAGTAATTCTGCCTTTATTCATTATGGCCTTGAACAGCGATGTCTTACCAGCACCCTAAAATCAAATGAGTCTTAGTAAGAAAGTGAGTATCTGGATGAACTTCAAAAGAGCAGGATGAGAAATGACAAAAGAACATACTACCTCCAGGCCAAGTATCGAACTCTTCGCGTTCTAACATGAACCTCCTTTGTAACAGTGGTAAAATCACTCGTGCAAAATATGGAAAAATCAAGTAAGGCTTCTGGACGGAGGGCCTTTTCCTGGTGTCGAAAACTATGCTCACCATTGAGATTGACATCAGAATTGATGGAAGAGAATAGAGGCATCAAGGAGTCTGCTGCGGCCACTATTGGTGGCCTTCTCAACGGAGCTCCTACAAGGACCCTTATCTTTTGTAATTCTGGCTGCTTGCCTTGAGTGGAGGAGTAGGTGGGTGCCGAAGGAAATGACTCTACCGTAGTTGAACACCTGGTAAAAAGAATACTATTAGGGATAGTTGTTAACTGATCTTTGCAGATTCCAAGTTCTAGACATAACCAATTTCCCCTATTCAATTAACAAGGTAATATGGTTATTACATCACATTAGAAACCTAGACACTATCAGAAGAGCTTATAGAAGATTCTTTTAACTTTATTGTTTTAAAAGCATCAACACATCCTTAGATTAGGTGTGCTGAGCAAAATTTGCAAGAACATACAATTAAACGAATATACAATTGTTTGTTGACAATTTTCATATATTTGACATTGCACATGTAATCTCAAATGCCTGAAAATGACACAATCTCAAAATGATGCAATCTGAAATACCATTGTTTGTCCTCAATTTGTAAACCAGCTAAGACTTCATAAAAATTAATCAACAAAAGGAGCCAGGGGGCCAAAGGAGAAAGGACAGTACCAGTTACCATTCACTTGAGCGTGAACCAGGGTGCAAAGGTGCAATCCAAAACCGGTGATATCAACTTTCAAGGGTTGTACATTCTTCTCACCAGGAGTACCACTCCATCCAAGAGGAAGAATGAAGTAGCAGTACGAATAACAGGGGACTCAACAATCTGAGCAAGCGTCACAGTACCTGCTGCTGCAAGTCCAAGCCACTGTTGTAAATGTGGAAACTGTGTCAGTTGCTCCATCCCTGGGAATGCTGACCCACCTTCGCCCATGCACAAGTCATAAATTCTGCAGACAATTGAAAGTAATTCATGTCACTAAATCATTTCATAGAAAATACAAAATTCTGACAAGTTAGGTTTTATTCTAGATAAGCATAGAGATACTAAGGTTTACAAATCAAAAGTTCCCAATCACATTTTCAATGTCGTATAATTCCTCAAAGAAGGAAAATTGGTGTTCCAAACTAGCCGGATAGGACAGAACCCAAAAACATAAAATAAGAACAGTTTCTGCTGCTTGTATTGATGCAATAACATAATCCACTTATGTAATCCTTATTCCATTAAGGAAATAAGAAGAGAAAAGAAAAACTACAATTCAACTTCTGCGCGTCCAAAGGGAAACGTGGTATGTGTATTCCATACATATACCTTTGAAATCGTGACCTATATGCCCTCATTGAATGTGATTGAAATCGTTCCTTTAGTCAGCAACACAGATCCAACCTGGAAATGTCTTTTGCCAGTATAAAGCAAACAAAATGAGGGATCATATGCCTGAAGCTAAGACATTAAAAGTCTAAATCCTCCCGTAAATAGAAAAATACCATAATTACCACACTAAAAAAGACCATAAAGTTTCACGGAAGGTCATACCGACGTCAATTTTGAGTATTCTGCACCTGATAGCAATTCCACTGACGAATTTTCCAGGAGATATAGCTGGTACAAAAAGACACATTTGTTATAAATCATACATGCCACTTGTTTTCAAAGGACTCGTTCTTAATTGAAGATGTTTCTGAGCAATTTGCAGAAGAAACCTAAAAGTTTGACCTCCCCTATTCATTCTAGAAAGAACCTGTCAATCAAGACCTATGCTACTGGTGGAATTTTGTTTGCGATGAAGAAGAATGGCCCACATTTTGAATTAAACATGAGTTCACAATTTTATCTTGATTTCATACCTCACCAAATGGAACATATGAAGGTAAATAAGGTACTCTCTGCCAGCTCCTCCTGCCTCCATTTTTTCTGTCAGCCTTCTCATATAAGTTATCAGCCACAGCTTCATCTTGTTTCCCATTGTTAACCTCAGATAATGGTTTAAGTGATATACCATCAGAACCCTCTTGGATTTCAAGAGATTGTGGTTCATCTATTACATCCTCAATTGAGGGGGTCGAAGTTGAAGTAGAGGCTGCCGATCTCTCTTCGGTATCAACTGGCTTTCCTGTGTACTTATTGAATTGCCTTCTTATACCCTCTAAAGGAACAAGCCTAGAAAGTCTCCAAAAGGAAGTCTGCACAGGCCCTAGCCCAATAACCAGTTGCTCCCCCTTGCTATCTTTCTGCTTGTTTTCCTTTGATTTTTCTATTCCTTCTTCTTCTTTCATAACAGGTTGACCAGTAGCATCGATCTCAGAACGCCTTGATGAAGACTGTGCATTGTAATGATGAAGTAAGCAGGAGAGAGGAAACGAGGCACTATATCTTCAGGAATGCAGTAAGTCTTGAAATGGTGCTGCCAACCCTTTTCATGTACATAACTGCAAAGGGCAATCGAGAACCAAGTTAAATGAATGAGGGTCCACATGTTTCATGTGAAAAAAAACTAAAGAGAGCATGGCTAGCAGTCTTTAGCATGCACAGCAAAGGACAAAATAGTACGTACTCTCTTAAAGCAGCATTGCCAACTGGGGGTTGGGAAAATGTTATGCATTTAACCTGAACATTCTCATGCTCTTTTGATGGTGAAGAGGCAGCAATGACTCTAAGAATAGCAAGGGTAGCTAGGGCTGCTACCTGAAAAGGAAATAAAGATACACGAATGACAATTGGAGAAATGAAAAGGAAATCAATCGCACAATGGAAAAACATGTTAAGAAAATTACAGCTCCACCAAGTGAATGTCCACATAAAACAAGCTTTCGATTCTTCTTTTGAGCTAGCTTGTATAGCTCTAAAGCAGGTATCCCCTTAGCACGAGCCAAGAATCCCTACACAGAAGTTGCACAATAGGA